GCGAACTCTGGAGCAAAACAAAGGCAAGATGGCCAAGAAGGAAGAGAAGTGTGTTCTCCAGTAGCAGCCGGCCCAAACTATATCCCAACATTTCAGTCTTGGGTCCACAGACCGGAAAGCCAGACTCGTCGTCGTCCCTTGATTTAAAACTTAACATTTCATTTGGCTGAACTGTACTTCTTTGCTACACCACCACCACCACCCCTGTCCTCCCGCCTTTCCGGTTTAAATATACAGAGCTCCCACGTAGCTTTGTTTAAGGGGTTTTGTGTGAGTTAATCATTTCCTTGAAATCATGTGAGATAGATTTGCACAGATACCTTGTGAGTGATTGGTATTGGGAGTGTTCGAGAAACCATTCACAGAAGAAAGAAAGGAACACCCTTCCCTCATTTTTTGACGAGAGAAATTTTAAAACATTTTTTTATGTTAATAGCATAATGATGGTGGGAGGGGGGTCCGAGGGGAATAAGAAAAATGTCATGATTTTTTTCCAGTCCTGCCATATGTAACCCTGACTCTGTTACCTAAATTTTATAGCTAGATCATATTCAATTTACTTATTAAACTGTTCTGTTTGCCAGTGGGATTTTCTGCAGTTGTTTTGCATTTCACTGTAAGGATAATAGAGTCCCTTTCCTCTGCTCTCCTCAGAGGATGGCCCTTTAACACAGCCCCAGACAAGTCCTGTGACTTAAAGGTGAGCTTTGAGGACGGGGCTAATTGACATGCATTAGTTTACAAAGAGCTCTTCTGAGAATGTGCCATCTTTTTCTCTGGGTAATTATTTATTACATCTCGCTTGGTTCCTACATTCTGTTGGCTCTCAACATTGGCTCAAGAACGCTGTTAATATTTATTCTGTATTGATAAAAAGTCTGTCTTGCCACTATGCACAAGTCTCCCAATTAATATTTTCTTCTCTAGCATAGCATTGTCATTTTTTGTGTGAAAATGGTTATCTGTTTATTTATTACAATACTGAAGTCATATATAAATTTTCAATAAAAGCAGAAACTTTCTTACCTTAAACACTCTGCTGCTTCCTTGCAATCAGAATAACACTGATTTGAAGAAAAGCTTGTGTATCTGTGAGACTTCATGTGGGAAAAATGGTCCTTTTGAACACAGGGCGTGACACACCATCCTGGAGGGGCCCTGCTGACACAGGCACTGGATTTGAAAAGCAATTAGTCATATCTTCCTGAGCAGTGTAAACTATCATCTTACGTAAAGGGTCATCTCTTTTAAAGGTATAAGGAAAATTTTGATTCCACAGCACTGAAAAAAAAAAAGGTAATATCTTGATGAATTTTCCACACTATTATTTTAAATTGTTATAATTTTGCACTCCTGTGAAGAACTAGGACTTCTGATAACTGGCGAGTCTGTAGGTGCTGAAGTGAAAGGAAGAGAATTATTGTTGGAGGGGAGTGAGTGCATTCAGGTGTGTGTGTGGGAGAGAGACGGAGAGACACAGAGACCAAGGGAAAAGGAACTTTTAGCAAGTTCTAGGCAACAGAAATTGGCAATTTTATGGTAGTTTCCCATTACTCCTCTAGAGAGGTGTCCGAAACAAGGCTAATTCAACAAGTCAGGAGATAGAGAAAACAGTTCACTAGCATTTACACTTTGGCCTAGATCATACACTTACACACACGTAGTTACACATGCACATACACACATAAATTCCCCTCAAAAGTGTGCAGCGCCTTCAGTTGCCAGTCTTTCAAAATGGCAAAAACTTGCTACGGTAGAGTTTCTTCACGGCAAGGATTTTAACAAGTTGTTGAAAAGTTATCGGGACTCGGTGAGATCGGGTATTTGTCCTCTTTATTCGAGCAGGAGAAGAGAGGAGCAGCCCTCCCTGGGGAAGGCTCTCGGGAGCCGCTCTGAGCCGGGGAGGCGGCAGACGGAAACCGCCGGCCCGGAGCGGCCTGAGGTTCGGGCGGCCGGCGGGGCCCACCCCATTGGGCTGGATTCGGGGAGCCTTCCCTTCCCAGAGCCCCCAGAGAGCCGGCTCCCGGGCCGCTTCCGACCCCCCGGGCTCCAGACGTGCCGCCGCGGCCCGGCCCCTCCCGCCCAGGCCCGGCCTCGCGGGCTTTGCTTTGTGGCGCCCGCACGCCCCGCAGCGGCGGCGGCGGCGGCGGCGGCGGCGCGCGGACCCCGGGCCTGGCCGGTCCGGCCTCCCCCAGCGCAGGCGCCAGCCCGGAGCCCAGGAGGCCGGACCCGGAGCCCGGCTGCGGCCCCAGGAGCCCTGGGCCGGGGTCTCCGGGGAGGAGGAGGGTGGCGGCGGGCTGGCCTGGCACAGCCCTGGGGCCGGTGCAGAGCTGCCGCGCCTGGCCCGCTCCCCCGGCCCCTCCCCCGCCCCGAGGGTCCCGGAGGCTGACCGGCCTCGGGGCCACCTGGATGCCCGGTCCGGGTCCCGGAGCCCAGCCCCACGCCTCCCGCAGGCCGGGCGGGTCCACCTGCCCGCCCCCTGCGATGCCCCTCTCCTCCGGTGGCTGAAGGGCCGCGGCTCCCACCTGGGCAAGTGCTAGTGACGCCGCCTGGTCCTCCACGCCGAGTACAAGAAACTTTCTCTCTCTCTCTCTCTCTCTCTCTCTCTCTCTCTCTCTCTCTCTCTCTCTCTCTCTCTCTCTCTCTCTCTCTCTCTCTTCTCTCTCCCTCTCCCTCTCCCTCTCTCCCTCTCTCCCTCTCTCCTTCTCTCTCCCCCTTCCTCGTCCCTCTCCCCCTCTCCCCTCTCCTCTCTCTTTTTCTTCTCTTAATCCCGGGGTTTACGGGTGGAGCATTAGGAAAACTCGCCTGCAATGTGGGGATTAGATAAACACCCTCATTAGGGGTGTGTGCGGAGGAGGGATCCTGCTCCTCCATTCCTCCCGCTCCTCCGGGCCCCGGCGGCATCTGGAGCGGGAGCGGCGGGCCCCGCGCGGGGCCCTGGGGACCGAGCGCCGAGCGCATTCCAGCGCCCGCCTCGCCGCCCGGACCGCGGCCCCGGCCGCCCCGCGGCGGGCCACGGGGTCCGAGGAAGCGGGAGCCGCTGGGGCGGCGGGCGGGCCTGACATCGGCCACGCACCCGGCCCCGGGGGCGCACCCCGCGCCCCGCGCGCAGGCCCGGGCCGGGCGGCTCTGGGCGCGGACGTGGCCAGGACGCCCCTCCTCCCCCCGAACCCAGGGCGCCCCAGCCCGCGCCTTCCCCCCGGAGGGAAGGAGGGGGTGCATTTCGTTTTCTTTCTTTAAACCTCTGCGCCCGCTCCCAGCGGGGCGGGGGGGGGGCGGGGGGCGGGGGGGGTGGAGGGCTCGGGCTGCGGCCCCGAGCGCGGCTCCCCGCCGCGGCCTGCGCGAGCCCGAGGTGCGTCCCGGCCCGGTCCGTCTCTTCCTCCTTAAACTTTTCTTTCCCGCGTTCTGCCCTTTTCTCCCGCTTCTCTGATTGTTTTCCCTCCGTGTCTCTGACGCTCCCCCTTTTGTGAATGGGCCGCGGCGCCTTTGTTCCGAGGAGAGACGCCCGTGTCGCTGACTTTTGTGAACCAGAGAAGGATCTTGTAAAACCCCTTTCTCTCCCCCGCACTCCCCATTCACACCCCTCCTCCCGGCCCCTTTGATTCGATGTTCCCTCCTCGTCCAAAAGAAAAAAAAAAATGTAATTTCGTGGGTCCGGCGGCCACTTTCTTTGAACATTAGCTCGCTTTCAGCTCCAACTTCAATTAGAAGGAGTTGATTTTGAGAGATGGACAAAAGGACCGGCCAAAGCCTTATTAAAGGTCCTCAGAAGATCCGCCGGGCCCTTTGAGAGGCAGTTACGGAAACAGTGTGCCCTCCATCATATTCTGTTACCGTATTTTATCCGGGCTCCAAAGGAGAGTGTCGCTGGGGGGGAGGGGCAGCGCTTTGATGAGCGGCGGCTGCGGCCCCTGTGCGCCCCGCGGGCTCCCCCGGCCCCGCGGCCCCGGCCCCGCCGCACCCACTCCCGCCCCAACTTTCCTCCCGCCCGCAGGGCTGCAGGGGAGCGGCGGCGATGCGGGAAAAGGGCAGAATTCCTCGAAAGGCAGGAAAGTGCCTCATATTCAGGAGGAGGTGCCACTGAGAAGAATTGCCTTGCTCAGGATGGCGCCCGAAAACACTTTTTTTTTTTCTTCTTTTTTGCGCTTTGCAAAAAAGTCCACCCAGGTGGATGCGCCTGAGAAGTTATGTTCGGCTGGGACGCGGGCTTCTCCAGTACGAATAACACGGGGAGACCGGCCCGGGAGGCGCCCTCCGCGGCACTGGGGGGAGAAGATAAAGGCGGGGGGGGGGTGTCTGTGGCCGGGGGTCCCCCCAGGCTGTCCCTGGCCGAAGGAGGAAGAGTAGTAAAGAGAAAGTTTCCGATCAAAACCTTTCGATTGATTCACCAGTAGTGTGTGTGCAAGGGGGAGGAGACGCGGGGCTCCGACGTTCCCGGAGAAGCGTTAAGATTTGCAAATATCCTACATGGGGGGGGGGGGGAGGCTGGAAACCCCAGGAGACACCGAGGACGGGCACGCGGCGCGGGGGCCCGCGGCGCCGGGCGGAGCTCGCACCCCGGGCGGACGGAGCAGCCTGTGCCGGCACGAGCCGCCCGCGGCGCCGTCTGCAGGTGGCGGCGCCCGAGACGACGCCGGGGCCCGCGGCGGGACGCGCGGGGCCGGGGGCCGGGGGCTCGCTCCCCTCCCGCACGCGGCGCCGGAGTCCCCGCGCCCACACCCGGGCCCACGAGCCGAGTGGGCAGGCGCGCGGGGGAGCGAGAGGAGAACCGGTTCTCCGGCACCTCGCCTCCTCCCGGCCACTCCCTCCGGGGCGCAGAGAGGGCGAGGGGAGGGCGGGGGCCGGGGCGGCCCAGGGACCGGCGCCCCGCTCCGCGCCCCGGGCTTCCCAGCCCGGCTCCGAGCGGCGTTTGCCAGCCGAGCCCCGCAGTGAGCGCGGCCGGGGCGGGGCGGGCGGGCGAGGGCGGGGGGCGGGGGCGGGCGGGAGGGCGGGGGCGCGGAGGTAACCCCGGGCGCGGGCTGCCATTGCCCGGCTCCCTGTCACTCAGCCCGCGCGGGGCCCGGGATTGGCAGCCCGGCCCCGTTACGCACTCACCTCGCGTTCACATACCCGGGGAGGGCAGCAGAAAGGTGATCAATCTTCATCAGGCTACATTTCCAATCACCTAAACAACCGAGCAAGACAAGCCGCTCCGACAAGGTAAAGCACTTGATTTATTTAGTTTGCAAAGTGCCTCTGCAGGACTTTCCCGGCCCACCAGTCCCCCAGCCGCCTCCACGCTGGACCGGGAGCGCAGCGGCCACTGCGAGCCGCCCCCCAACTCTGCCCCTCTCACCCCCACCCTTTCCCCCCTAACCTCCACCCCGAGGCCCCTCGGCGGGGTCCCGGGCGAGGTAGTGTCTGTCTCGAGAGCGTGTGGGGCTTTGCAAACAAAGTGTCTGTGCAATAAAGTGAAACCTGGAGGGACAGGCACAAAGCCAGTGGGAGAGAAGAGAGGGAGGAGGAGGGAAGTTGGGGAGAGAAAGAAGTCCGGGGGTCCCAGAGCCCTGCAGGCCGGCGGGTGATGGGTCCCCGCGCTGCTCCGTTTTGCAGGGTGGCCGCCGGCGGGGCGGTGAGGGCGCGGAGCGGATGGTGAGCGGCCCCGGCGGGCGGCGGCGGGCAGGTAAGGAGAGAGCCGCCGCGGGGCCGCCCTGCGCTCCGAACACAAGCGGGGTGCCCTCGCCTCCCCTTCTTCAGGCGGGTCCCCGCTTCCCAGGTTCCCGGCGGGTGGGGGGCGAGAATGGGGGGGGGGGGGCGGGCGGCGTGGCTCGCGTCTGGGTGCGCCCGCCGCCGCCGACCCCGGGGCTCCGCCGCGGCCCCGCGCCCCCGCCTGCGCCGAAGTCACCGAGCAGAAGTCAGTGCTAAGTTTGATCAAAGTCTCTGCAACTCCCGCTGCAGCTCAGCAGCGTCCTCGTGGCCCGAGGGTCCCGGCTGTTTCCCTTTCTTCCCCTTCCCTGCAAATGGGGTTCCCCAGCCGGGGGTCCCCCAGGAGCGGAGCGGGAGGCGCGCTGAGCTGGGACTTCTCACCCTGCGCTCCCCCCGCGGCGCCCGGGCCTGCGCGCAGCTGCCCTGCAGCTCGGGGAAGCGACAGGTCCTCCTCCAGGGCCCAGTCCGCTCCCCCGATCCACGCCGCTTCCTGGCTCCCCAGAGCGGTGCCTCGGGCTCGGGGCAATCGGGGGAGCCCAGCTCTGACCCCCTCTCCCCCCAGTCCCGGCCAGCGCGAGCGACGCCGCCGCCGGGCCTAGTTCTCTGGGCCCGACAGGGCGCGGGGGCCGCGGCTCAGCTCGCAGGGCAGGCGGGGAGCGCGCGGGACCTGCTGCCCTCCCGCCTCCCCAGTCTGTCAGGCCCTTCCTTCGGGCACAGTCCCCGGCCAGACCCCATTGCCCACACCAGGACCCCCAGGAGAAATCAAAGAAACCAGAACCGCTGGAGTTGGTGGAGAAAGGCCTGGGCTCGGCCCTAACCAGGCGCCCCTAACCTGGGGCCGGGCCTTAGAGCCGCCCGGGCTCCTGTGGCCCCTTCTGCGCCTTCTGGCCGGCTCTGGGGGACCTGGGCCAGTGAGTGCGGCTGGGGTGCAGGGGGATTTGGGGTGAGCGCTCTCTCAGCGGCTAAACACTGAGAGAGGCCCACTGGAGGGCTGGCTGTGGGCTCCGGGCCGGCACCAGCCTCCGCGTCCTTTAAAGAACCGTCCTCTCCTCCTCTGCGCCCTGCGTCTGGGGGAGGCCCAGGTGCTGCGAGCGCCTCACCTGGGTTCTCTGTCATCTCTACCGTGTCTTCTCGCTTTTGAAAACATTTCAAGCAAAATGAAACAACAGCCCCTCACCCCTGGGCGCTTGCCGCGGGGCCCGGTGCACGTTTGCTGTGCGGTGTGGGGCCGGCTCTGGCTCCGGCCCGCCCGCCCGGCTAGAATTTCCCTAGTTTTGGGGCCTCGCACTCTCCGAGGTTCAGACTCCGACATCCCTGGCCCAGTCCAGCTTTTACCTTCTCACCCCTAGCGATGCCCTCCGTGTCTTTCTGGCCCGTCCCAAGCGCCAAAAGAGGGGCCACCGCCGGCCCAGGAAAGTTTGCTTGTTGGAGAAGTCTTGGTCTTTGGACTAAGGAAGGGCCTTGTCGAGCCGAATGGACAGCCCCGCGCAGTCCATAGCCCGTGTCCCCTCCCCACCCCGCGGCTCCTTGCCTCCGACAAGACCAGGAAGCCGAGAGAGAGGACTGCGAATGAGAACCAACGACTCTGTCCTTGTGTCTCCTGTCTCCGCAGGCCGAGCCCCAAGACCCAGCAGAGCCTGAAGGACTGACAGCGCGGTGGTCGCCCCGCCTTGCGCCCGGCCCCCTGGATCCGTCGGGGCGCCTTCACCCGGCTGTTAGCATGATGTCTTACCTCAAACAACCCCCCTATGGCATGAACGGGCTGGGCCTGGCCGGGCCCGCCATGGACCTCCTGCACCCCTCCGTGGGCTACCCGGGTGAGCACCAGCCCCCACCCGGCCTCAGCCCCTGCACATCCCTGGGGACCCACAGGCTCTTGGGTTCGAGCACACGGTTGGCTGGGGAGCAGGCCCGGGGGAGCCAGGTCTGTTTATCAGGCAGGGCCCGCTGCAGGCTCTCAGGGCAGAGTGTGCAGGGCGGTGAGGGGGGCCAGGGCGGTGGCAACTGGGCAGCGGGCACACTGGGACGGGGCCGTACTGACCCCCCTGCCTCCTGTTGCGGCCCCACCGCCAGCAGCAGCACAGCCATTCGTTTCCCCGGTGGCTTTTTCTGGGGTGTGCACGTGTGAATCTCTTCCTTTGACCCAACGCTGAATGAGGACACTCTCCCAGAGCTGTCCCAGGAAGCGATTGGCTGAGCTGAGGGCTGAGGACGGGGATTCTCTCTCCCTAAATTGTCCTCCAGACCGGCCGCCTGCACCAACTTGTGTGCCGCTGATTGGATGGCGGGAGCCGGATTCTGGCTTTCTTGTCTAGCGCCGCTCTTTTGCTCCCATTTATTCCCTCGAAAAGTGTTTTCCAGGTGGTGGTTCTGTGCACCTCTGCCCAAACCTCCAGCCAAGGAGTTTGTTGGTGCGTGTGTGTGCGTGTCCGTGTGTGTGTGTGTGTGTGTGTGTGTGTGTGTGTAAGAAGGAAAACTGCATAATTCCTCTTCCTTTCTTAACCTGAGAGAGTTGGGGCAGGGGGCAGCCCAGCCTCAGAGATGGTGGCTCGCACACACGCACTCTCTGCCACCTGTGGCCTCTGGGGCTCGGCCTCCTTTGCTGGGCGCTCGGCTTTCTTTTCCGACGTCTCCGCTCGGGGCCTGCCGGGTCCTGTCCAGCCCTCCGGGTCCCGGTGGCCGGCGCTGACCCGGGCCGTGTCCCCGCAGCCACCCCGCGGAAGCAGCGGCGGGAGCGCACCACGTTCACACGCTCGCAGCTGGACGTGCTGGAGGCGCTCTTCGCCAAGACCCGCTACCCGGACATCTTCATGCGCGAGGAGGTGGCGCTCAAGATCAACCTGCCGGAGTCCCGAGTCCAGGTGCGCACGCGGGCGCTCCAGGTCAGGATAGGGGTGCGGGGCCTGGGGTCTGGTTTTGGGGCGGGCTTACCAGACGGGGCGGTCCCTCCCAGACCCCCACCCCCACCCCCACCCCCCTATTCCCACTCTGGCCCTGAGCCTGGAAGAAGGGGACGGAGTTAAAGGAACTAGCTTAGAGCCCCGGATTCGGCCCTGGGCCCCAGGGCGCTTTGGGTATCAAAGGTCCCTTTTAGGATTGCGGGAGAACAAAGAGGCTCCGAAGGCAAAGTGCCCTGAGGGCCCCACACTGGCCCCAGTTCTTCGGCCTCCCCCGGCTGGGCAGGCTGGGCAGGCTCTTCCGGGGTCCTGAATGCGGCCTCCGCCCTCGCCCTGCACCCCGGGAATCCTGAAAGCAGAGGAGTGGCGCTTGGCCGGAGCCTGTGCCCTGTCTGGGAGGTGGCTCCGCAGGTAGTTAGTGCCGGTTTAATTAGACGCTTCCTTGGATTCCGAATGCAAAACCGGGCGATGGGCTTTGCGATGAAAGAGCCCCCAAAAATACTGTTTGGATTATAACTCAGAACTCCCCTGGGGGGGGGGGGGGGCTGGGGAGCCTTTTATCTCGCCTTCTTTTCTCGGAGGAGTCTCGAGAAAGTACCAAGGATGAGTGCAATGCCAAGTACCAGGGCTTCCAAGATGAGGGAGAGACTCCTGATTGTACCATTAGGTCCCCCCCTCCCCCCCCCCAGCCAAGGAGCCCAACGAAACTCTGCTCAGGCTTCCCTGCCTCGTCTCCCACTTCAGCTTCCTCCTTTGCTCCCACTCTCACCCCAATTCTCTCCCTGCCCACCCCGGGCCTCCCTCCCGGCCCGGCCCACTGGCTCAGGCCTCAAACTTGGTGACTGCCCCCCACTTCCCGGCCTGCGCCTGCCTCCCGGCTGTTTGCTGCGCCCCAGCCCTGGCAGGCAGAGCTCCAAACCCACTGGGCTGCTGGGAACAGCCACAGCAGCAGTCCAGAGGTGGCTGGACTTGTGCTGGACCCAGGCAGCTGTCCCACCCATGGGCAGAGTTGCTGTGTCACATCCCTGTTGGGCCAGAGGAGGTCTTGGAGCAGTCGGAGGGGGGCGGGCGGAGGAGCTGGAAGGCAGGGGCCGGGGCAGGGGCTGGCCAGGCCGGAGATGGGGAGGGGCGGAGGCCTGGGTAGGAGTTCCAGGCGCGATCCGAGGCGGGGTGGTGGGCCCCGGGGGCGGGGAGATTCCCCAGCTCTCCTCGGTGACTGACCCTCTCTCCTGCCGGCCCCGCCGCAGGTCTGGTTCAAGAACCGCCGCGCCAAGTGCCGGCAGCAGCAGCAGAGCGGGAGCGGCGCCAAGAGCCGGCCGGCCAAGAAGAAGCCGTCGCCGGCGCGGGAGAGCTCGGGCTCGGAGAGCAGCGGCCAGTTCACGCCGCCCGCCGTGTCCAGCTCCGCCTCGTCCTCCAGCTCGGCCTCCAGCGCGTCCACCCACCCGACGGCGGCGGCGGGGGCCCTGGGCGCGAACCCGGCGGCGGTGGCCGCGCCCGCGGCGTCCCTGAGCGCGCCGGCCGCCGCCTCGTCCATCTGGAGCCCGGCCTCCATCTCGCCGGGCTCCGCGCCCGCGTCCGTGGCGGTGCCCGAGCCCCTGGCCGCCCCGGGCAACGCGTCGTGCATGCAGCGCTCGGTGGCGGCGGCGGCGGGCGCGGCCTCGGCGGCGGCCTCGTACCCCATGTCGTACGGCCAGGGCGGCGGCTACGGCCAGGCCTACCCCGCGCCCTCCTCCTCCTACTTCGGCGGCGTGGACTGCAGCTCCTACCTGGCGCCCATGCACTCGCACCACCACCACCCGCACCAGCTCAGCCCCATGGCGCCCTCCTCCATGGCCGGCCACCACCACCACCACCACCCGCACCCGCTGAGCCAGTCCTCGGGCCACCACCACCACCACCACCATCACCACCACCACCAGGGCTACGGCGGCTCGGGCCTCGCCTTCAACTCGGCCGCCGACTGCTTGGATTACAAGGAGCCCGGCGCCTCCGCCGCCGCCGCCTCCTCCGCCTGGAAACTCAACTTCAACTCGCCCGACTGTCTGGACTACAAGGACCAGGCCTCCTGGCGGTTCCAGGTTCTGTGAGCCCGGGAGCCGGAGAGGAAGAGGAAACGAAACTACCTGCACTCCCTGTGGTCCCCCCGACCCGCCGCTGCTGCTGCTGCTGCTGCTGCTGCACCCCCGCCTCTGCCTCGGCTTCCCCACACCTGATCGCGACGCCCCTGGAAGATGCACACTGCCTGCACCGCCGCCCTCGCCTCCTGCCGCTGGCTGGGGTCGGAGGGGCAGGTGCGCCCACCCCTTTGGATGCAGGGACCTTGGATGCTTTGCGCTTGGCCCACAAGGTCTACTTGCTCCCACCGGACCCCGGATGCACCTCCTCCAGTCTCTCTGGACACTTCGCACGCACTGGCAGCCTTCGGAGGCTCCTGGCTCTGACGGGCTGATGGAGCCCCACACTTTTTATTTATTCTTCCTGGACCCCGGCGTCACCAACTGGCATGGGTTTGCCCATCGGAGAGCACCCACACTCTCCTCCAAGACAGCCACCGAGTGTTCTTCTCCTGTGCAGGCCGCTGTCCCTTCCTCTGCCCGGGGCCGCTCCCCGCCTGCAGGCCGGAGCTCCCGGGCTCCTCCTCCCCCTTCTCTTCCTCCTCCTCCTCCTCCTCCTCCTCCTCCTCCTCCTCCTCCTCCTCCTCCTCCTCCTCCTCTCTCCGCTAGGTGGGGGGGCGGGGCAGGCCCCGGGGAAGCAGCCCTGGGTCCCCGCGCCCCGCCCCGCCCTGCGCGCGCTCCCGCCCCCACAGCGGGAAAGCTGTACAGAGTCGGTCCGTTGCAGGGACCCCTGAACTTTTTAGTTGCTGTTGGTTGATTGAACTGAAGCCTATCTCGTTTTAGCGCCCAGGAAACAGAACTTTAAGATATATATAAGCATATATATATATATATACCTATACACACACACACATATATATATATAAAAACAAAAGCAAAACTATGTCCCTCTGTTCCCCCTGCTTCCCCAAACGATGGCGCGTTTACTTCTTCAGTTGTTCAGAGCTGCCCTGCCCTCACACCTTTCTCCTGTTTGTATTTATTAAAACACCCTTTGGGCGCTGAGGACCGGAGGGAGGGCTCAGGGGTGGGGAGGACGCAGCCAGGCCGGGTTACCGGGGAGGGGGCTGGGCTGGGCGTGGGGCTGTGTCCTTCAGGGTCGCAGTTCAGGTTTAGAGACAAAAAAAAAGTGGGGGGGGCGGGGGAGAGAAAAACATTTTATGGAAAAACGGAGGACAAGCCCAGGTCCCAAACCCCAGATCCCATCCCGCCAGCCCCCGTCTTGTCTGGTGAGTTCCTAGTGCTCCTTCGCGCTTCTGGGTACGCGGGCCACCCGCGCCCGTGTGTCCATTCTGGCTTCGGCCGTCTTGTCCAGTAGGTGGGAAAGTAATTTGTAAATTTAATTTGTCCGATGTGAAGACCACAAATTACTTGTTGAAATGTGAGGCAGCCCCCCCCCCCTCCCATCCCGTTTATCGACATGATTTCCCGAAAATAAACGCAAGTTCGTGACCGGCTTGTCAGTGTGGCTCTTCTGCACCCGGGTCTCCGGGGCCCTGGGGGGCGGGGGTAGGGTAGGGAGTGTGAAGCCCGCGTGTGAACGGTCGGTGTGAACCTGGAGGCCACAGGGCAGAGCGGGGGACGGGCAAGGGGAGTCCCCAGGAACGTGTCCTCCCGCCCCGGTCAGCCGGGCCTCTCCCCCTCGGGCGGTGTGACCCCGCATCCCCTCCCGCCATCCAGGGCAGAGACAGGTGTCAGGACTCAATCCCCGGAGCCATTCCTTTCTCTTCAGAGGCAGGAGCCTGGCAATGATTTCTTCACCCTAATTGCTCGCACCAGAAAGGGGAGGGGAGGGAAGGGAGGGGGAGAGGGTCGGGAGGCGGGAAGGGATAGCTCTGTAATGCTCTCAGAGCTGAGCCAAAAAGAAAAAGAAAACAAAACGACCAAAAAAAGAAAAGAAAAGAAAAAAGAAAACACCCAAGTGATCCGTGTCCTGCACGTTGGCAGCAGACACCCTTCCCTTCTGCGGAGCCGCGCCGGGGAGGGGTGGAGGGTGGGGGGCCTAGGCAGGCTGGGGGATCCTTGGGAAGCCTGGGCCCTTTCCAGAAGGAGCCAAGGGTGCCGGTGCGACCTGTGAAGTTGGAAACTAAAACATCGACAACAGTGGGCGCTCAGGCTTGCAGCAGGAGGTGGGAAAGGAAGGCCCCTCTCCCCCAGGGAAGACGGGAATTTGTGGAGGGGGAGATGGAGTGGGGTGTTCCCCCCAGAAACTCAGAGCCGAGCTCCCCCACTCTGGCCTGAAGCCTCCTGGGCGGAAGGCCGAGAAGCTGCCCACCTGTGCACGGGCAGGACGGAGATAAGGAAACAACGAAAAGTTCCCCGCGGAGGGACCCACACACCCGGGTCTTCCTATTCCGAGTGCGGCCCTCGGGGAGGCCGCGTGTGGAGGCCGCCCCCTCCTCCCGGGGCCCCGCGCCGGCCCCGCGCCGGCCCCGCGCCGGCGGAGACCGCCCTCCCGGCCGCGCTCCCTCCGCCGGCGCGGCCCGGCCCTTGCGCTCCCGCGACCGCCCGCCGCCCGCGCCGCAGCGGCCGCTGGGGGGCGCCCCGGGCCCCGCCGCCCCGGAGGGAGGCCCCGGGCGCGGCTCCTCCTTAAAGCCCGGCCCGGGCGGACCTGCGCCGGCGCCCGACCCTCGGTGCGCGGCCGGCACGTGGGGCGGCCCAGCCCAGACGCGCCCCGGCCTCGCCATCGGAGACCCCGGCGCCGGGCGCCCCGCGGGCAGTGCCCAGGCCGGTCCCCGCGGCTGCGGGGCGAGAGGAGAGCGGAGCCGGCTTTGCACCTGCGGGAGGGACGGCCGTGCGGCCTCGGAGCCAGGTCCCGACCCGGCCTGGCTTTGGCCGCATCTGCCATCTGCCCACGGGCCCGGGCGGCCCGGACCTCACACCTGGAGGCGGGTCCTGTGGCCCCGGCACCTCTTCTCAGTACCCGGTGCCCGCGCCCTCGCCGCACGCCTGGAGCCGCAGGCCTGGCGGGTTCCCTCCGGGACGGACGGACGGACGGACGGACGGGGCTTCGAGAGGAGCACGTGCTGCCCGGGCCTCCAGCCTGTGCCAGGCCCCGGGAGCTGGTGCGGGGCCTCGGGGCGCGGGAGCTGGCGGGGGAGGCAGGGCCGCCGGGCGGAGGGGGCCGGGCGGGCAGGTGAGCCCCGGAGGCGGAGGTCCTCCCAGCCCGGACCCTGGTCACCGGCCGCAGGTGGTGGGAGCCCGGTCCTCAGCTGCCCGTCTCCGGAGGGAGGGAGGGACCTGTGGGGTTTGGAGTGTGGGGTTTGGAGGTGGGTGTTCCTGGCGCATGGGGCGCAGGTAGAATGGGAGCAGTTCGAGGAGATGAGCAACTTGTTAAGACTCCGCAGTTTTCTCGCTTTGGGTTCAACGAAATCTTCCCGTTTCCTGCTCAGAGCGGAGGTGCAGCCTGAAGGGAACGTGGGTGAGGGCCTGAGGGGTACAGGGGAGGTCCTATTGGGGATTAAAAAAAACATTAAAACCATCTGGAGAGAGCACCGCATTAACTTGCGGGAACTCTGGAAGGGTGGGCGCAGTAACCCCGTTTGTGGCGGAGCTTCCCGGTGCGCTAAGGGTGTGTGGAGACATTTCCTTACATTGAGCGCGTTTTTTCTTTTTAAGAAAAAGTCCTCACACCTGCGAGGAAACACAGGTGAAAAGACTCTGAATTTAGTCAGCAAATTCGTGCCTGTTACATACAGAAACAAAAAAACCTGAGTGGTTTCATTTATTGTATCGAAATGAGTAGTTTTTCATGTATTTTGCTCAATATAACAGTTTCCCAGGAAAGTTGAGACTTTTTTTGAAAGTTGTGGAAATAAATGATAAAATCCCTACTCCGGCAGAATTAATTAATGCTATTGATGTCAATAGGCACTGATAGGGACTAAGAATTTAGAGATATGAAAATAAAATACATCTGGTATATGAAATATAGTTAATATATACACTATTGGTAAGGAAAATCTGTATCATTACTATTCAAGACCAAAAAAAAATCACTTGGCTTCTGTTGCAGAATTAATTTAAGATCAGCAACAAGATAGCTTTATAAAATCCCTTAATTGAAACTGAACTTCTCAAGTTATGTTTTCCACACTTTTCTCTCCTTTCCCCATACATCTTAATGTCTGCAAGGAGAATGAAGAAAGTGCTTAAATTTAACCAAGGAATATTTGTATTCAACAATATCATACTTAAGGTAGAAACCAGTAGCTAGAAAATGAATACCAAATAATAACGCTTTGCTTGTTTGACAACAAGAAACCTGATTCATTGTCTTAAAGAAAGAATGATTTAATTAAATGTGTGGGTCACTGGAATATACTTATTGAAAAGGAGAAGCTTTGGGGACACTCTGTTTAGGAGATGGTTCCTGAAAAAAGCAATTATGCCTCTTAATCATCCTGTTAACATTTACTGAAAAAAGGATTGATTTTTTTTTTTTTTTTTTTTTTGGTGGAGAGAGAACATGCCATTTTGACACAATGATTATTTATTTAACCATGCCTTATAAGTGAGTTAGATTTTTACTTAAAACACATTAGGTTCAGTCTTTTCAAAAGTTAAAAAAAATATTTCCCAGGAAACTTCTAGTAATTTAGGTAAAATGGCAATTACATAAGATAGCCAAAGTGTAAACTGCTTTTAAATGTATCCATTTTTTCCTTAGGAAAAGAATAAAGCAAGGAAGTGTATCATGTGCTCATAACTACAGTGTATATCCCTCTAATTATGAAATTATACTTTCATGTTTCTAGGACTATTGCTTCAAAGATTAGGATATGTTTAAAATATTCTAGAGTTTTTTTCTGATCAAGTAGGATTTAGGCTTGATTTGATTAATGTCAACCCACCAATATTTTAAATGTTGAAAATCTGTTGTGTTTCTAAAGATTGTACTTCTCCTATCCCCTTTGGATAATTTACTTGGTGGCTAATATAATCAGAGACACAAAATTCCATTCCATTCCAGAGATCATAAATACTTTGTTTTCCAAAGGTTATTCTTTATTGAATAGCTTATAAAACTATTTTTAGAAAATTT